TCTCGCCTTCCAGGTTGGGGTTCAAAATACCCCATAACCTGTTGGTTGGAGACAATAAAGGATATGGCGGCAGCAGTGGCGTTCTTGTTGTCGTTTCTTATCAGGTCAGAATGCTTGAAACGGTATGTATGCAGAGTTCGATTGCGTATTCTGTGTTGACCATAGTGGCTTACATTCATCTTCTTCCCTCAAAATAGATCCAATCCCTGTCCACCTTAAATTTAACCACTAACCTTGTGTGCATTACGAGTTTGGCAGCGATCAGCGAAGTTCGCTTCACTGTATTTTGCTGTACGGTGATGATAATGAATGATGATGATTGGTTGGGATAGATGATGCGTTTTCATTTTAATTTCTGCGTTACGTTTTCATCTTTCCGAGTAATCGGTAGAATGACTTCTTATTTGGTCGGTGACATTGATATTGGAGTTTGCCTTTTCATTATATTCGTGCTACTCATAGTACCCTCATGTATTCATTCTATAGCACAGATTCCTGCGATGTACTTACCCAGTGAAATTGATCCCACCGTTCCTGCCTTTTTGTTATCCGTACATGTACGTAGTTCATGGGTTATGGCATCCTTCAATGCTTGGATCATTTGCTCGTTATCTACACATTTCTGCCAATCCGATGCGCTCTGACTGCTTTAAAATTGATCTTCTACTGTGCAAGAAAATTGCTTCTTTTTCCTGTTCAATCTTTTCCCGGGTAAGTTATTATCAATGTTACTTACATTCTCATCCCTGCTGTTCTGTTTGTCTTGGAGTAGAGTGTAGTGATCTATTGTTTCAATTAAAAGCAATGAATTGCGTGATTTCTGCTGGAACAGGCTTAGATCTGTCTTACCCCGGACATGTAGTGAGCTAAGTTCTCAAAAAGTCAACCACTCTGGTCACGTTATCTCAGTTAACTTTTATTAGGTGAATCCTTTTGAACCCGTGGAAAACTTCGGTTACAGTGCTAGAACGCAAATAATTTCTAACTTCAGTGAGATCAATCCCAATACCGAACAGTGTTATGTGGAGTATAATTTTTCCACCATAACACGCGGCGCTCTTCATTTTCTCTAAAATTTCGCACTCACTCATGATCACTTTCCTTAACTCCGCAACGGCGTAAAAGCTTGCGCTCCCCCGTGCAGAAATTGTTTAATGATGCCCCCAGCATTCTGAATAGAATCTGAATCATTGGAATGTTTGAACGTCACGGAACAGCGACCATGATTATACGATGACAGAGAGTAGTGAATCAACGCTTCAGTCCTATAGTCCTATTGTCATACCTTCCATGGACGACTGGAATAGGATAACCATTGCGAGTTGTAACGTATGATGGCGTTATATGATTGTCTTCCAAGACTGCCAACTATAATACCCCCCAGCTAGATTTGTACCCCATTACAAGTTGACACCTTTCCCATCCCATGTGATGAATCAGGTGATTGGTCCAAAAGAGAAATGTCCTACAAAATCTGGTTTAATTAATACGTAGACTGGCGTGCCACATTGTCAGTTAACCTGTATGTATGTCAGACCGGAGGTTGAGAACAATGGTCACCAATGGGATGTAGTTGAGTCAGTATGAAAGTTGGATTACTTTTTTATTGCACACCATCGTGTGATGATTAGCAGAAAGAGTAAATCTCATAGTCACTGGGACCCACTGTTCACTCTTAGAAACCGGAAAACGAAGTCCCGGCACTTGGAATGACTAACCACACACACACACATAGCTCCACTAGTGTTGAGTCGGGTGAGATCGGACAGCTCTATCCTCAAAATTAGGTGGCGCTTTCTACTTTTGAATCTTCACCCGAGGCCCCGCAGCAAGCCAACGACAGTGAATTAAACCGGTGAACCATTCGCCACCACCATCACCAACTACCACACTGGAAAACGTAATTTAAAAGATGTTGTTTGTTTTGATCTTAAGCTTGTCAGTCTTACATGCCGTGTCATTGCGCTTCCAGTGATTCATAAACCCACCTATTGCAGAGTTCATTCTTCGTTGGTGCTGACTGAGTTGAACATTCCAGATGAAAAGTTGTAGGGATCTAGACTACAGTTCGTCTGTGTAACAGCGACCATGGTTACTCCAATTCGCTCCTTATTGCACACTGGTTGAAGGGCTGAAAATGCTGAGATCGCTGCTTACCAAGGGTTTGTCATGTTGATTCGTCATCCAGACTCAACATCTCATTCTCCCAAGAAAAGCCTCAGAGACACTGTGCAGCCTTATCTCAACCCATTGAATCCATCGAACTTCCAGTTGTTCTGAATCCCGCTCCCTCATCGGTTGATCCATGCGAACTACCTCTCAACAGATTTTGGTATTTGATGAACAAACCAACCCTGTCATGTTTGGCCCAGTTAACTTAATCGGTTACTGCCTTCTGAAGAGTGAATTGGAAATGGATGGCTTATAATATTGCCCATTCCCTCTCTCCACCCCATTTCAGTACCCCTCTTCCCTCAGGTTATCCCGAAGATCGCCTGATCTACAGTCACGAGATTCGTGATTGGATCCGTTTTTCCCTACTCCTCATATGTACGGTCACTTTGGTCAAGATTGACACGTCTGTCGTGTACCACGAGATCCGAACCCAATCGGTCGTGAAAATCTACATTTTTTTCAATTTACTTGAGGTGAGATTGGTCGTTACAGACTTGGTCCAATGAGATTCTTGTTTTCTTTGCCGCTCGTAATCCTTAGTAAAACTTAACGCTTATTAAATGAAAACGTTGCAAAAATATCCACAGGATGCCGTAAAATGTTCCATAATCTTATAGAGCGCTACATTATACATTGTGTGCATGTGATAAAACCGGATATACTTTGTATGGTATGTGGATAACGCTAAAACTAATTAATTCTCCAGAAGCTTTATGAGGACCTTCGATCCATGCATATTTTACAAGTGATTCTGTCTTCAGTATTTAATAAAACGATTCCTGTACCCAAGACAAGTTATCAAAATACGATCTGGTGCTCAAAGAGGAAAGAACACAAAAAAGTTTGCAACAAACAGTGCAATTTGTCCGTGATTAACTTCCATTAAGTACAGTATACTATTGGGATGCCCAAGTTACTAAATCACCTGTGTAGGACAAGTTTGGTGTTGCACTAGTACGTGAGAAGCTACTCGAACGGATCCTCTATTCTACTTGATGCGGAATTGATTAACTCAAGTGCATTGAATACTCCAAACCAACGACTAGTTGAAATACAACCTGTTCCTAAGGAAGTGGTGTTCTGATGGTTTATATTACTCACAGTGATGAACATCGGGTTTTACTATCTACGATTCAGCGGCGACGACCAGCACCATCACCACTATCCAACTAAGGTGATTGGCAGCTTTGCTGTCTTTCAGTTTATCAACTCACCTACCGTGTTGGAACCTTATGTGTTGTTCATTGCTGCAAGCCACGGTGTCCAGGTTTCAGTAACTGATCAGTAGATCTTCATGATAATGATACTCATTCCTACTGCTCGCCGTACATAAGAGCTTCACGGTACAAAGGAATCTTCCAGATATTGATGAATAGTTTTCTGCTGCTTAAAATGCTGTCTAGCGCTATCTGTTTTATACTTGACGGGTTTACAAAAATGGGCATATGATCATCTTGGTGAGGCGGTGGTAGTAGTTGAGGTCATCAGCTAGTGGTCGGTTACAATAATCTATGAGGTTTACGTGTGTACCTCGGGAAAACGTTAAAATTCACTAGATATGGAGCGCTCAGTTTCACGTGAAAATAATTTTCACTGAACTATTTTTTAACCCTAAACGAATCCCTGGGACCCATCAGACTTGCCTAGCATGCCAACATCTGATATTAACGACCTTATATGTCCGCGTTCGAGCCTTCAGTAGATCGTTGAATATGCATTGCACTGATGAAAATCCGCCACTGCAGTGGGACTAAATTTTAATTACTGATATATCTTCCTTGTTTTATTGATTCCCAGTCAGTTCTGCTACGAGAGAAGCAAACATTAAACAGCAGACCACATTAATTGAAAGGGACTTCGTAGCCGGTTTGACAAGGAACTTAAGACAACGGTTTATGGCTCATAGAAAAAGATGCAAAACGCTACCATTCAGGACAGTAAACACACGGTTCGGTTGTTAACTTTAATTTTATCGCATTAGTTCCCCTCGCATTCCTTCGTGCGAAAGCGCATGCTAAAATCGACCCGATCCTTTTGCAAACCGTTACTTTGAGCCTATCGAAAATCTTTCGGAAATAGTTTTCCTGAAAGTACATACTTCGCGAGCAAATAACCATCAGTCCTCGTAGCTGCTTGATTAGTCTTGTCAAAAGTTGAGTTGATATAGCAAATGGAGTATGTGTGTAAAATGCAACCGTTAAATGGAATTAGTTGTTTGTACGGCAATGTTTTCAAAACAGACAAAATATGGTAAACGACCGTTTTCTAATCGGGACTCGCTGACAATGTATATACGATGTACCTTTGCCTGCGGTCAAGCTGTGAACCGTGGTAAAGCACACACTTTACTTATTGAGGCTCCGGGAGTAAAATAGTGTATAGTTCGGTTGGTATGCGCTACTGTTGAGTCCGGCCGAGAGCGACTCTGTAGTCTCCGGTGCTTTCCGAATATGTGTGGTTCCCTAAACGAAATGAGAGTGGTGCGCAAAGATGAAGTTCGAGGGCTGGTGATCAAAAAAGTCGCACAACCTAGTTGGTGTGAACTCGCTTTTAGCGAGCTAATAGCAATACAAAAAAATGTGAGTGATTCCGGATTTTGTGTAAAGTATTGCGCAGCCAGCGTTAGCATTGGCCATTCCGAATAAAACAGTGTGTGTGTGTGTGGGGGGGGGTTGTTGATGATTTGATCAATACGTGATCATCGCTAAACGTTTACAGCTAGGTTGCACAATTCCGTGAACTATGTATGTCAGAAAGGCAAAAATCGACCTATTTCTATCAGAAATAGCAGTCAACCAAAAATAAAAACGCGGAAGATTTCAGAGAATTCCTAGATTTTGTTGGAATGTTCGAGCAGTTACATGAGTTCCCAATCTGCTCTTTGCCCTGGAATGCTCTTATTTCGCCTAGCGTGCACATTTGCTATATAATTATCCAGGCAAAATAATGTAAATATAATGAGCAAGTTTCACCTTGAAGTGTAAAAGAGTTGTGCTCCCTTAAATGCAGTTTTCGCGCTCTTATTTTTGTTTTTTGATTTAGGGAGGTCGGTGGTTGAGGAGTTGGAACCAGATCTTTCGAAAACGTGATTTCGCGAGGCATAGCGCTATAAACAGTCAGTTTACTTGCCCTTGAATTGGAAGATTGATCTTCTACCTAATGCTATTGCATATATGGATGTATAATGAAAAAGGGTTTTTTTGATGTTTTCCCCCGCTTTATTTCCATCCCTGTTGATAGGTGGCAGATCGGCTACTGTCCGCGGTATGTCAGGATGCACTGGACGATCTACTGCACACGGCCAGTCGGCTTCGCCAGATGTCTATGTGTTCCTCTACCATTAAAATGGTATCCGATCCCACTAGTCAGATGACCGAAGGTGCAGTGGTGCTTTTGCGTGACTTGATTCTGCAGTATTGTTTCGCTCTGATCTGCTTGTGTAAGTTCTCTGATGCCTAATTCCTCCCTCCGTTTTTCCCTCGGTGGTTTGCTCATTGTTCATTCTTATCTTCGGGTTTAGATCTCAGCGCAAAAACTCACGTAGTTTCATTGATCACATGATCGTGGAATCCATTTAACAGATGAAAATAATTTTTATCAGAGAGGATCATTCGTTTGAATCACATAGGCGTGAGTAAGTGTTCTGTCTTAATTGGTCCCTAAGAACGGAGAGAATTGCAACGTTACTCGCGAATAACCTGTCAGGAGGGCAGTTGGTTTTTCCTCTCTGCATATAAAGATAGATTAATGTTTCCTTTGTTCTGTACGCCACAAAATTCCTGATTAAATGTGACTTACTCATGAATTATCTATTGTTTGTCAAATGGAGATCTTCAGCGAGTGGTGTTCTCAGAGGTTGACTGTCCTTTATCCATTTTATTTTATTTACTTCACTGTCATAGTATAGCACAATGTCGGAGAGTAATAACACATGTCAGTGAGATCCATGAGTACAAACCTCCGTGGAGAAACAGACAAAATGTACCTGGCAAGCTAAGAGCTGGACATAATAGGTTACAACACAGTGGTCACGGGACACTAATGAGACATTAACGTCCACGACGACACGAGAAGCACACCACAGAAGAGGCAGGTTCGTAAACAACATGAGGGAATACGGGGGCAGTCGCGACAGCCGGCTAGCTCCGAACGCAATTACAGCACGGTATAGTGGCCGCCGCAAGTACTAGCTCCTCAAATACGAGAGGTGAAATAAGAAAACAAGCTGAACATCGTGTACTGAGCACAAAAGATCATACAGACCTCCGGCTTGTAGACAAATAGACTTAAAAATCGCTGCAAAAACACGACCTACCGTTCGGCAAAATTCAAACTGTCCACAATAAGTATAAATACAGGGAAAGTTAAACAGTTTCAGGTAAAGGTAATGCAATAGAATTCTGTCTACCAACCAAAAAAGAGCATTGAGCAATGTTTTTTTTGTCAGGATACATCAGCAGGCAGTGTATTTTGTCACTGTCAAATGAAAATATGTTTGAGTGATCCATATCGCTAGGCGCCCAGGTTGTTAATCGTCGAGCGTTTAGTTCGGGGTAAGGGTCTCTGACCCCTTTGAGAAGGTTTGCGATTCAAGTATTGAGAGTGAATACAAACATTGCTGACTGGTCCTCTATCTCTTCTTTCTTCAGTTCGCGATTTGTTAAACGCCGGATGGTAGTGAGGACCCGTGGTCCAGCGTACGGTGCACACAGGTGCTGTAACATTACATCCATCTGAAAAAGTGTTGTATGAGAGAGAGCCACCAGGCATACAGAAAACTTGTTTAACCGGTCCTTCTGTCTTCCAAGCTACCAATGATTTGATTCCCTAAGCTTCTGGCGTACTCCGTCCCGTTTCGAAGTCTTGGTTCTCATTTGCTAATGACACAAGAAGGCGATCGGTAATTGAGCACCTTTTCTTGCACAGTATCCCTCCGGCTTGATTTGAAAACCGGATCAGCACTGATGGGTTCGGATTCGGGATATCATAACTTTGAATTTTTTGTTTTGATCGAAGCACGTTGTGCACCCTTCGAATGAACTTTCTCCCTATATCATAATACTCGAGACAAATAGTGGTTGAAAGAAATGTAGAGGTATTTAGTTCAGAAAGTATCAGAGTCGTACCGAGACGGTTTGTATTTTTAATTCAACAAGATTTTCTGAACAGGGGTCACAACACCCATGCAATACATGGATAACAGCTTTGCACAACAAGGCCTCAACGTTTTTCGCTCATCTTATCGAACTAATACATTTCGCCATTGTTCCGCTGTTTGGATAACTCCCTTCTCCCCATCGTTCTTTTAATTTCTTTACAGTTGCACACTGTTTCCTTCTGCTCTGTCAAGTGACCACTCTAAATGTGGCTTTCAATTCACAAAATAAATCTCTCGTCACCGTCTTCATATCGAATAACGTGAGTTATCCTCGAGCATTGTCAATCACTCTAGACCGATTTTCTTTTTCGCATCTCACTTTTACCGGTCAAGAGATGTTTGTGGAAACGATTACTGTTCTGAGGTTTCTTTCCTCTCTTTCATTATGTTCTTTTGTGCTAGACGAGGTTGATATCTTGTTTTCCTGTTCACGCCCTGTTTGCATTTCACGAATTCAGGGATCGATTCTAAACCTCAAGTCGTGACTGTACAACCCAATGATAATACCACTGTAGCTGTACCGATCTACTCGGTCCCTTCTGTAGCCAATTTTCACCCAAAACTTCTTTTTCAACAACCCCATTCCATATTTTTATGACATGAAATGATTTAAAATAAAATGGGTAAACTCCGTAATCAGTGGTATACTGAAAACGGGAGCTATGTGGAGGAACATTCAAGTGAGAATCAATTTGTTTATCCTGCTTTTGAAAAGAGTAAGGTATAAGTGCTTGGAAACACGGAAATTGGAGGTGTTCCACAATTTCGCAGTCCTCGGAGAAAAAGAAGATCGAAAGGTAGAAGCCCGACATCTGGAGACAGAAGTCTGATAAAGGTGACTGCTCTCCTGAGAACGAGATGGGCGAGAAGAGCTCAATCGAAAGGGAAACCGCTGAAGCGAGTTCGGAAGAGCAGAAACCAAAATAGTAACGATAGAAAAGAGGTAACGAAGCAACTGCCCGGCGATGGGAAAGCGGCTGCAGGTTGGAAGTTAAGGACGGTTCGTCGATGAGCCGGATAGTCTTACGTTGTACGCGGTCTAACAGTGAAGGAGCGGTATACAAAGGCCCACTCCATACGTGACTGCAGTATTTGAGCGTCGGGCGGATTTGAGCTTTGTATAAAAGGAGAAGGTTAGGTGATTGGTGATTGATTTGCACGCAGCGCGACAGGCCAATTCGGAAATGAAAGGGGACCAGCAGAGAAGAATTTATGGATAAACTCAGGAGATGGAGAATTTGTGAAATGCAGTGTCAGCGAGTCAAAAATCAATTGAAGGGAACATAAGGAACATGTTTAAGAGAGTCGGAGAGGAGCAGCATTGAAACACGTGGTTGGTAGAACCCCGTGCGGAGAGGAGTCCGAGGTCGGAGGCAAGCGAAGCACGAATGACATGGCGATCGTGATCGATATAAGTAGTGACCTAATATGTTATGCGGTAAGAAAGAGAACACTGGAGAGTGCCATCATCGGCAAACCAGTGAATGGGATTAGATATTTTGGACAAAAGATCGTTGACAAATAGAGGAAAGAGAGTGAACAGAAGTATGAAACCTTGAGAAACACCGGCATTCCCAGGGAGTGGTCGCCACTCGGACGGAGATGGTTCGCTTGGTGAGGAAACACTGGAGCTACGATACGAGAGACGGGTAGAATCGGAACGTAGGTGATTTCGACAGCAGACCTTCATGCCAAATGCGGTCGAAGGTCTTTGACATGTCTAGACCATATGAATTTCTCCATGCTTATCGAGTGCAGTTGACCAAGGATGTGATGTGAGTGCCAGTAGGTCACCCGTAGATCGACGACAGTGAAATCCATATTGACGGTCATTCAACGAACCTTTGCGTTCGGGAGAGGTACACAGGTGTTCGGAGATAATGGTTTCAAACACTTTCGAAACTACAGAATTGAGAGTGATGGGACGGTAGTTGTTGGGGTCAGAAGGGTCACCGCGCTTTGGAACGGGAAGAATAATGTCAGTTTTACATAGGGTGGGAAAATATTTAAGATGGAGTGAAGAACAGAAAAGACGGCGCAAAATCTTGGGCTAATCCCGGGCCACATTATTACCGTAAGTCAAGCCAGGTTGTCAGCTACTCATCCTGTCGACAGCATCAGTTCCTGCAGGGGGCGGTGCCCAGGCAGCTTTGTTTAGGTCGATAGTAGACCTACGAAGAATGTGTCCAAATAATTGTAGTCGCCGCCGTTGTATTAACGCCCGCAGTTGTATAAGAGTTAAACACCGGTTTCCGGCTGCTTCATGTGAGAGCTGCTCCGTCTTTCTTATTCCCAGTACTCCCAGAACGATTCTTGGGAACCAGTGACCGTAGGCTTGTAATCGTCGACAGTGTTCAACTTCAAGGTTCCAGGTTTCACAGCAGTATAGCATGACAGGAAGGACTATTGCAGAGGAAACTCGCGTTGTTTTCTTTATGCTAATTTCATTTCTACACCAAAGGGAATTCTTCAGCTGTAGAAATTCCTCTCTTGCAAAATCGACGCGCTCTTGTACCTTGTCTTTAGCTTGGTCGTTGGGAAGTATGATTGAGCCCAGGTATTTAAAGCTTTTGGTGGATTCGATCGGTTAGCAGTTTAATATTAAAGCATTTTCGGGATGAATTTTAGTTTCAAAAATTACACACAGTCAGCTATGGAGAGGGTTTTAAATGATTGGCTTTTGCGTGGATTTCCACGACTCTAGGGGGTTGATAATTTATGAAACTTCTATTGATGTCGGAACGCATTTAGCTCCGTATGGTGATGATGGTGAAGGTTATAACTGCACGCCTCTTGCTTGTAGAGAAAATAAGTTACTGAAATGGAACGGGTTGACTGTAATTGTGTCAACTCGATTTACAGGGTCAACGGGTGAGACACATCAATAATCATAAGGCCTGTCAATACTGGTAAGGTCAAAAGCGACACCGACCAGTCACGTAACATCCGGCGCGAGCGAGCTGCGGCGTGATTTGTGCTCTCATCATAGCGAGGAGGACATATACGGAGGTTGGATTTCAGAGTGACTGAGAAGAAGACTGAAGCGTTCCACCCATCGAGGTATTTTTCCTTCCGCATCAGAAATGAGCTCGCTGGAGGCGCTGCGCAACACGGACTAGGTAACTTGTTTCTTACCCGATGCTGATCTTATAAGTCGGAAAAGGGTCGCTCTGTTTCACAGGTTGGTTGCTGTCTTCACTTTTGTCGCCATTTCATTCCAGTAGTTGCATCTATCGTTTCTGGCTGTTCGTGTTGCTTGTCGTCTGAGATCGCGATAAGCAGGGGATTGGGCTAGGCGCACCTCTGGTTGTATTACCTAACTGAATGATGTGGTCCGATATACAGTCATGCGGACGACGTAACTCAGTTCCGAGTTCGTTTAGAGCAGCTTGTAGCCATGACTACAGCCTTTTCTACTGAGTTTCAACCGACCTCTCTGTCCTTCCCTGCGTACCGAGGGAATCTTTCGACGGTTGGTAGTGTCTGGCATTTCTCGCTGTTCCCAGTGGAAGCATATTTAGGTGTTTTGAAGGGACGGTCTTCCTGCGAGCGAACTAGCAAGTGATCAGATTCACTTTTTTCCCCGCATTCAGCCCCGCCCGGGGCTCGATAATATTCAGCCGAAGAAACCCATCGTGAACTGATGAGAAGGTAATCTACTTGGTGTGCCGTTCGTCCGTTGTTGGAGTACTATGTAAGAAAATGCTTTTTTGGATGTGGAAACTGCGTGTTTGGTAATAAACGGTCCATTACAATAGGCGAAGCTGAGCAGTCTATCACCAGTCGCAGCGCTAATCGAGGTGAAACCTCCCCACGATGTGCTTCATGGTCTCCTTGTTGAGCGTTTGAGCGTTTCAGTCCCCTACTATGGCAAGTACGTGACGTTGGAGTACTTCATTAACAAGCGAGTGAAAGCTGCCATAGAACTCATCCTTGATGCTGTTGTTCGGTGAGCGAGTCGTGGTATAGACAGCGATTACTGTGAGGTTTCCTGGATGACCCTGGAATTGTGCCACTGCTATCCTTTAGGATACCGGTTTTCAGGAAAGTAAAGCGTTATTAACCCGATGGCTTAACGCAAGTGCCACTCCGTGTTGACCCGACGTTCCGTTGCTGTTATGATACAGCCAGTATTCACTATCAGTACCAGGGATTTCTATACTTTTAAGCCGGTGCCCGCTAATATGACTTCTGATAGGTATGTATTGTTATCGCCTGACTCCCGACATCTGAGAGTGATCTTACGTTCCAGCATCCAATGTAAGAAGTTGCGCAGTTTAAGGTATCCAGTGTGCATACTCGTCACCCGAGCCACTGGAGAAGCACTGGGCGCGTCGTTCCCCAGGAGCGCCGTGGCGTGATAAGCGAGACCAATTAAGTTAATGTTCATGAAATTTGTTGGGAGTTAGGTACAGTAGACGTCCCCAGCCTCATCCGGTCGAGGCGGTAACTTTAGATTTTTCAGATCCAAGTGCTAATTGCAAGACAAGAGGAAAGTGGTGCATAGTTGCCGGTGGCCCTCTGGAGCGGGCTCATACGCCATTGACAGTTTCTAGCTGAACAGGAGTCCATGCATCTCTGATGAGTACGGAGTCATTGCCTTGCCCGTTGAATGTTACAGATTTCGTCCGCCCAACGCGTACGTTAGACACCCACTCGCTGGCAGTTGAGCTCCCGGTCATCGTCGACCTGTCGAGCGGTTTGCCGGGGTGTGACTGCTGTTGTATCCAGACAGCTTCTTGGAACCACAGGTGAGCGCCTTGTGGGGACAAAAGAACGGAGGATGCCCCTAAAGGGCCGTTAGGCCTCCGAATTAGAGGTGCTATTCCTACCGGGTACCCTATACACCCCTGCCTATGACCTAGTTTTTCAAAGCCGGGGCCATAACTCCCAGCCGTTAAGGCGTACGATGGTGCGTACTCGATTGACTGACCGATGATGTACAACTTATGCACTAACGACCATAAGCATGTTAAAAATACCGTGATTTTCAATGTATTCGTTAGGCAATCTATTTTTTCAAGGAATGACGCATGTGGCATTCCGCCTGTTTTCCCGTTAATATCCCCACCGAACTCCAGGCCTGACTTCCCTTACTCTGATCGATCAATGCATGTCCTATTATCCTATGTGATCATATTCCACTCTTCCCTTTACTGATTATCCAAAGGGGTAACCCGAAAAAAACAATCGAAACAGCTTGGCGATACTTCACTATATATGTGAACGATGTAAGCACTCGAATAACAGTTTCACTGTCCTGAAATATGTAAAGTTAACACGCATTGGACCTATTTTGAGGAAGCGGACAAGAAAGCGAACCTCTTTGGTCCACACACAGAGCGCACAGTCTGACTTTCCTTGCAAAGCTTCTCAAGCATTCTGAAATAACACGAAACGGCATCCATAAAGCCACTTCTGTCGGTTCACTGACATTTCCTTCAGCGCTTACAACCATCCAGTGGTAGGGTCCTTTGGTCCCTAACGTTGAAGGCGGGAGACACCTTGTCTATCTAATCGCCCTGTACGTTTCTTCGTGCGTCGTCTGCACGTCATCTGTTGACATCCACTTGAGTTCCACCAACCTGGAGCTGCAACTGCGAATGAGGCCCGGTGAGGCTGTCGCCCGCTTGGCATGCGCAAAACGTGTCGTAACCCACGTGCCTACTTATATGAATTTTTCTTTTAAATTCCCAAATGGGTTACTAACACGACTCACTCTATCCTACGTGCGCCAATCCACGTAAATATCGATACTCGAAAACTTTTATTCGATGACTATCTTCAACTTGCAAACACACGGTTTCTCAATCATAAAACAGAACTGAACGAACGGTGGCAGGATAAACATATCCCTTCAACTTCAGTAAGATATCACATCTATGTGTTTCAGTCCTACATACACTACTCGAGCCCTGGAGATGAGGTTGGTTATCTAATTTTTGGCTTCGCCGTCAATTGTCATACAACAAACTAAGTGGGAGAAGCGATCTATCGTGACCAACTCCTGGTCACTTAGTTTCAAATCGAGGCTAGTCGACACCTTGCATTTCAGCAATACTTTGTACTTTTAAGGTGCATAGCCCCCGCAGTTCATCCTACCTTTCGCTTCATGTTGGAGTTTGGCGTAATCTTCAATCTAATCACAAAACCACCCAAAGTTATTGCCTCTTCCACCACCGATATCCCTTTCCTTGTTTTTCAGTTCGTTGAATTGAAGAGTAATGTGTTTCGGAAAATGGGAAAAACAAACTTGTTCCAAATTGCCTGCGCCGATGTCCGCGAGCGCTTTCACTACACGATCTGGTTGTTCATAGTTGTCTGTCGCAACATGACCGATACCGGCTGGAATTTTGGTAAGTATTTCTGCGTCTGTTCCACCCTACGTGTACCAATGCAGTGCATGCCTTATCACGCCATTATATTGTATATCTTTTCTCTCTAGGTGAAAACGTATTTCTACGGCATTTTGTGCGGCAGCAGATGTCTATCTCATTTCCATTGATCAATTATTTTCGTTGTACACTGCATCAGGGTAATAAACCCATTGTCTCAAGGACCCCCGTCTGTTGGCTTTTTAGTGATACACTACACAAAACCCCGATGGGGTAGATGGGATATTCACTCAGTTGACCGCGTTGCTGTCTATCGCTTTATACAGTTATATGTTCTTTCACACAGGTCTGAGCCCAGATTGTGTGCCCAACAAATCATTGTACACTAAGCTGTATAATAATAGGATTTCATGATTTGTTTGTTTTGAGAAGACTGCTAGTTTGCCCAGGCCGTGACTGATAAATTTTCTTGTGGAAAATCACAACCAAAGCCATCTTCCAGCCAAAGCCTAACCCGCAACGCAGCGGGGTGGTGTATGTGAAACTGTAATCTATTGCAGTCCAGTGTCCTGTTCATCGGATCTTACACCCTTTGGACGGGTTCAAACATCCAAGGTGCCCAATACGCCCGATGTCCAGTCGACTCGGTGACCAGTGCCACAACCAGAAAGGTGTGGGTGTGTATGCGTGATTTGTTCATCTGTTCTTGTTTGATTTGGCATCAGCTTTTTCGTCAACTTCCCTGGGTGAACTGCCAGTGGTTCACGTACCGGGTAATTACTGAAAGGTCATAAACTCATCTATTAAACGTTAGTTCCCCATGTGAAGATGCAAAGACACAGGTTCATGTAATTGTTATTTCCTCTCTTTTATTTGCATGGGATCCAATCCATCTGTCCATCCATCTCATTTTTTACGTAGCACCAACTGCCTTTCTCCACAGTCAGTTTAGAGAAAACCACAATATCTATTGCTTTTTAGCTTTTAGACCACACTTTTTTGACTGCGTTCTAAAGCTACGCGCATCAGTGTGTTCACCGCGTGACACTTGATTTTGTTTAGGTTCCAATTTGTTTATAAATCACTGGACTTTTTGTCAATCTGTATTCTCGATCATGTGATTTATTGACTGTCTTATCACGGCAGACTCGTTGGTTGAAAAAAATGTGACTGTTTCCCGCCCTCTTTTTCACGATTATTTTGAACCCCTCTCCCTCTCTCACTGCAAGATCATTTTAATCGTTGTTTTTAACGTTAAGCATTATTGGGTTTCCACAATATTTTGATAGCTCATGGTAATATTGTATACCTACAGCTGTGGATCAGTCATGGTTAATGGTTGTTCAAACTGAACTGAACCGAACTGGATCAATCAGACTTCTTTTTGGCATATCATCAACCGTCAACTTGTGCCCATATTTGTCAAAATGGTAGCTTCTGTCATGCCTTGTCGATCAGATCCGGCCCATGTAGGTGAACTGTAGATAAGTAATAGTGTGAAATACTGCTCACATTTGTGAGTAGTATGCAAAAGAGTGCGGTCGGTGGTTTTCTTCAATAATCATGAATTAACAAGACTACCGCGGGCAAATTGATGTATCTCAAAGAATAACTACCGACTGCTGCATTCGTTACCCGGTGTGCTACCGGGAGCAGCGATGACATGTTTCAAATGAGATTTATGTTATATGTATGCTAAATTAGTGATGTCCTAACTGTAATCTGCACTAAAGAACTATCCTCTACCGAGCACCATCTTGTGGAATTATAACAATAGTAAGATATTAACAACCAAGATAGATGGATTAAATGTGATTTAATGCTTGGGTCAACTTAACACTTATGACACTTTTCAGTCACAGTTTACACGTTTAATCTGTGCGACATTTTTCATTGTGTACGATTATTGCGCTGTTTTTTTCCAGGAAAATCTCTTCCATTCTTTGTTAGACCTGCATTGGAGTGTTTGGATTAGCTATGTCGATGATGACATGCTTTACTTCAAACTGGCAGCTTAACTGAACTAGTGATTTTCATTCATGCATGCTGAATGTGGATCAAAGTTGTTATACGTATCCCCTTCAAAGCCATTCAGACATATATTAAGGAACAATCTCTCACTTCGAAATGATAGAAAATATCGCTTTCTATCTACTGCGATTTGTTTGGAACGAAGAATCGATCATTTGCATCGAATGTTGGCCGTGTAACTGCACTGTTGAATTCAGTGTAAATAACAGGGGAAAATATTACCTCTGTATGGCGCCTGTTCATGCAGAAAGTGCTCCACCAAGTTATAAATACGTTGTAAATCACAGGGAAATGTTCCGTACTTCCTGACGGACTATCATCTAATTTGCACCACCAGAGTTCAAAATTTTGTTCCAGTCTTGGGTTGATCCTGCTCCCCATGTCGCTCTATCTACAAATACATTGGGAAAATAGACCAAGTTGCATCACATTAACAGGTACGTCTCTCCTGGTGCTTTTATTCAGTGCAGACACGTGACCACTATTGAAAGTAAACTGTCGCAGATTACCACTGTCTATGCAAATCTGCAAGAATATGATACTGCAATCGAATAAGCCCTCTCAGGGTTTCACGTAGAATTTTGGGCAGTCGTGTTTGTGCATGTACCGGAGTGCGTGGTTGGTTCACGCATTATGCATGTCACCAAAAAGGTTCTCCTCGATCTGCAATGTTTTCCAAGGTAGGCAGTAACTGGAGCATAACCAAATATGTTCCGTTCATAAATGTATGCAGACCTTGGCCAAAGAAAGTTGTATTTGATTTCCCTTTTGGGATGTTTGTAATCACCTTAAGCGGTGGTTATAGTGACCGAGTTATATAGTTACCGTGCATTCACTCACTATCTGAACACGTCTAGTCTCATCTGATTGTTTCTTTGCCTCAATACTGTTGGGAACGATTTACTCTTCGTTTGTTACTACTTTTTTGCTTGTGTTAGTCACGGTGGTCAATCGGTTTGAATAGCTGCCACGCTTCAGGCCAAAAATCAGGAGTTTTATTCTTGCCACTGGTACTGATTTGTAGTGAGAAGAAGTCTCCTAGTCGTTCCCCACAATACCTCATCTTTCCCATCTGGATCTCACACAATCCGGTTCCTCAGATCTCAATGTTTGATTCCCCTAACCGAGCAGTAGATCCATTTGATTATGGGTTTTGGTCCTTCTTTTGATTACCAGACTGTGCAACCACTGTGTGCAATATAACCCCTTAAACATAGAGGTATTTGATCGCCCGTAAACGTCCGGACCAGAAACGCCACGTGAACATGTTCACTGATTACGTTTTCTGTAGACTGCATTGAAACGGTAGATTTCTGTTTATCAGGGACCCGATATGATTACTGCATTTTTCGCAACTCTGATTCTCATTGAACCGTTATCTCTCTATGTACAGACGATCTGTGGGAAATGCTATTCGACGTCTGTTGCATTCTGCTGGCCGAAGTTGCCGTGGACTGGGTGAAACATTCGTTTATCACCAAGTTCAATGTGATTCCCTCGAATGTGAGTCTCTGTGCAACTTACTCGGTCTCTGTGGCCAAGTATTCGCGTATTGACTTCGTAACTTGCTTGTCAGCTTTTCCTATCTGCATTCAGATCAGATCGGTTTTTCTACAAATTTTGCAGTCTAGATATGTATATATATCATAT